ATCTTAAAAAAGTCGATATATTTCGTATGTTTTTCCATCTAATAACACAGAAAACTACAAATCAGATTGTGATAACGCACTTTGATCACTCCGGAAGTTCACGCCAGCACTTTTCACGAAATGCTGCACTTTGAAGGTTTTCACAGGTCAATTAGTAATCGAAATCGTGGAGACTTTTGGAGACTTTTTTGTCACCACGTTCACTTACTAAATCTTCTTTTAAACAGTGTCTTTCAAACTCAAATCACTCCAACCATTACTGAAGAAACAGCAGTTTTTTGAACCAGTCGTCATGTTACAATTTGAATTTGCGACCGGTACAACTGTGTTAAAATATTGTGTTTTTGGCTACTAAAAATAATAATTTATTCTATGTACATAGAGAAATACAAAGATTAATGGTATAAAATCAAATGCTGATTAAGCTTACCTTTATAAATAGTAAAAAGGATCCAGTTTTAGGCCATAATTTTAGGATCACAGCATTTGACCGGAAGTGGCCGCCATTTTGTCAACAAACGCACGCGCGCAAAGCGTTTGGGATACTACTTGACCCTCCTCTGCCGCCAATCTATATTTTGCTTTATGAAAAATTGAATAATTACAGAATAACATTATTTATCGCACTATTTTTCGTTTTTCTGGTTTCTTCAAAATCGGAAAGTTGCAAAAAATACTGTTACTTGTATTTTGACTTATGCCGATTTTAAGTTAATGAAAAGCAACAAAAAGACCATTCCATGCGTATCAAATTTTTTGAAAGTTTGAAAATAAAAGTTACAAATATCTGATATTTTGCATTTCGTTCGGCGTCAAAAACTTAGGGGGGGAGGGGGGGCATGAATCTAGGAGAACGGTGGACGACGATACGAACATGGCGGCTCTTGAGAGTATAGTACACAAAGAATTCATAAAAGATTTGGTGCAGAAAAGGTACACTCATAAACAAATAGGCGACTACATTAAGTCTTTGATGCCAGGGAAAAGAGGAATTTCTCCCAGGAGCGTTGAAAGATACTGTGCAGCTCACAATATACACTATCGCGATAAGAACATAAACAGAAAAGATGTCGACTCTATCGTTGCTGAAGCAGTGCAGGAGGTAAGTTACGATCTATAACTGAAATGTTACTTATTATTTATGTAAGAGGTCTTGCCTAGCAGTGTCAATAGCCTTTGCATAGGTCCTGAATGCACGAACGATGTGTATTTATTAAGTAAGTTTGGTTAAATTAAACTTAACTTAAGCTTAAATAAGAAAGTTAAGCTTAATAGTGTCTTTCACGTKTTTTTTTTAAATAGTGTTCTACTACTTTATCTTCATGTACATGCATGAGATTAACTTCCTTTACTGATTGAGAAACGACGRTGTCCATGCGTCAATTATTTGATATGTACATTGTAGTGCACCATTTGATGCTGTGTAACATAACTCACAAAACCCTATCCCCTATATTTACTGTTCCTATATAGTAGGGGCCTAGTAGTATACTAGGAATTCCTAGAGTTTTCTAGGACTCAACACGTTTTGAATAGGCTTTTCAAATGGTTCGAATTCTTTTATGTAAACCACTCTTAGGAAACCCTAATAATTGAAGTCTGCAAAAAAACTGCAGGTGTCAACATTATCCTAGGATTCCTAGGAATTATGTTATAGCCTCCAAAACACAATGAATGGATTTGACCAAAAGCATTTATGTTTGTTGACAGTAGAATTATGGTTCCTAGGAATTCCTCTGTCAGAAATCCTAGGACTTCCAAGTTATTTGATATCAAAGTAATTTAGGAATGTAACCCCAGAATGTAACACTTTAGTGTATCAACCATATTTGGCAACTCTCTTGTGTTGTGATTGATTATGAGAGTTTTGACTAGAAGTGCATAATATAGGGTCTACATTTTACCATTTTTTTCCCTTGATTAGGGTAATGGAATTTCACGATTGTGCAGTTTTGAATAGGGTCAGGGGGTAAGAATTAAGCCACTTAAACATTTTCTAATTTCATCAGGAGGCAGGGATTTTCTAGTTGAAAAGCACAACAACATTTCATGTGCCATAGTGCTGGTAGTTTTTTCCATAATGATCAATTTTCATCAATTGTATTATGAATGGCTAATAAAAATATAGCATGTTGTGCAAAAATTCAGTACTGGTTAAAAATATCTATATTGATCATAATTTCTTTATTAAAAGGTGGGTCCCACTTATGGGCGAAAGTTAATGACTGGACACCTGAGACATACAAGAGGTTTAAATATTGGAATTAATCGTGTGGGAACTTCTCTACGCAGAGTATCAAACAATTATCACATGGCAAGGCAAATAAATACTGCACGACTGCTTAACCCAATCCCTTACTTTGCTGAGTACTTTGGTCATAAGTTGCACTTAGACCAAAATGAAAAACTGTGTATGTATGGAGTTACAGTTGTCATTGCCATAGATGGTTTAGCTACATTTGAGCCTTGTTTCAATTCTTACATCAAGAAATCGAGGTCAAAATATACAGTCATATTTTGTGAAGGTTATCTCAAATAGTTATTATCAGTAATTAATCAATTCATCAAAACTTATTTGAAAAGTCGTGAGAGATTTTATTAGCACCATATACCTTCTAAATAATTTTTCATTATTTCATGACAATTGAAATAAAATCAATTAGTGAATTATACTCATAACATTCAAATATTTCTTTTCAAATATTAATGCCTGGGTTCTGTGTAGATCAAGTAAAAAAATAGGCCTTTTTCCTGAATCTAAGGCTGTATTGTTCACTTGTACTAGCTATGTTTGTCAGTGAATGTTTTGCACTGATGATGCTGTGAGACTATTTATATCATAGGACAATAAAATTGCGTTTTAATTTACCATTGATTCAAATTTGATTCTTTGGCAGGCAAAGGAGTACCAAACGAAAGAGCTTGTGACTATAAAAGAACTGGTGTTATTCCTTCTCATGTAATTCCAACTGTTGAAGCTGCATCAGATATAGAATATATATATATATTTAGAAATGCTGGAGGGAAATTACAAGTGGATAGTTCATTTGGTAGTGATCCCCTGGCAAGAAATAAAGAGAAGTCTTCTGCAAGAGACACACAATTTGCAAAATTCTACAGTTTCACCCAGATATTTCATGATGGTTCAAATGGCAACACTGAATTGTTTAAAAATGGATTGTTGTACTACATTTATCTGACTGAGGAGATCACTAARAGAGGGTAAACATCAAAGTTAACAAAAAACTTGTTTAGATTGATTTAATATGAAGTCTTATACAGTATCTTTACATGTCAAAAAGTTAATATCACTACAGAAATTTAAATCACATTAAAACTGTAGCTGTTCTAACTTTGAGTTGAATTCTTATTTAGGCTGTTTTGTTAAAACCTGCTATAAATTATAAACATTTGTAACTCAGTATTCTTATTCAGGTTGTTTTTGTTAAAACCGGCCTGCTATAAAATGTATAACCATTTGATAACTCAATATAGACCAACATCACACTGGTCATCAACATCCATATATACTTGAATGTAAATAATAGATTGCCATGTCAAATTTCCAAGGAGGTAATCTTCATATTTAATGAGGGATCTGACAAAAATAAAGATTTCTTTGCTATTATAATTTTTGCTGTTATTTGATTTTGACTCAGTTATTAAATTATTTAATAAAATAAGAAACCATTTAAGAAAGTTTGAAACTCTCCTTTGAAACTTTGCATTCTTACTGTCTTTGATGGAGCAATTAATATTTTTCTACTTTAAATCGACTAAAATTTGTTTGATTCAATCATGGTTAGCAATGTAAAAATACTTACTCCACTAAATGCACTATCAAATTTGAACTTCCTTATTATAAACTCAAGATAGAGGTACTCACTGAGTGCACTCACAAAACCTGTTAAAGAAATATTTATTTATACTTTCTAGTATTATAATAATTGAAACAAAAATGTAGCTCAAACCTGCATAGCAGCCCACCCTTATGAGTTAAGATTTAAAAAAATCTTTTAAGAAATTTATAGGTTCATATATGAAACAAGTTACAAAAGTAAAATTATTGCTGTTCTAATAAGTCAATGAGAGCTATACTGAGAAAAGTAACAGAAAGCCTTTCATGATATATTGAATGCAAAGACCTCAAGTCTCCTTGAAAGATAAGGAATGGAATGGAGCATATATTTGAAATAAAATAGAAAATGATGACAGGTCCTCTCTTCTAACAGGTCTGCTATGCAGGATAAAACCTTCTAGTTTTTTTCTAACTTTGAAAGAACAGAATTTAGTTTGTCAATTTTCTTCAAAGTAAAACTTTTTTCTTTGCCATCAGGGGACTTAAGAGGACAACAGTTGTCGCCTCTAAACAAAAATTGCATCATAGGAAGCGCTGGCAGCAGGATGTGTAACAATTGGGGCCATCTGCAACCCTCAAGAGCAAATACAATACTTGAAGGACTCTGCTAAACTCTCCCCACTTTCTCAAATTCTCTTAGTAATAATGTCCAGTTAATGTTTAGTGAGTGACACTAATTGATATTTGAATTAACCAGCATAGCAACCCACCCTTACGAGAAGATTTAGAAAAATCTTTTAAGGTTTATAGGCTCATATGAAACAAGTAACAATATTGCAAATGAATCAATAAGAGCTATAATGAGAAAATTAAAAACAGAAAGTCTTTGATCATATTTAGAAAAAATGCAAAGAAGAAAGATAAGGAATAACAAAATTTGATTGATATAATTTTGACTTCATACTAGACAAAGAGAATGGAGCATATATTTGAAAAAAAAAGAAAGTGATGGCAGGCCCTTCCTAACAGAGCTGCTATGCAGGATATGTCGATCATAACTTCTAGTTATTAAATTCTAACTTTGAAAGAATGGAATTTGTCTTTGCCATCAGGGCACTTGCAAAGAGGACAGCAATCATCGCTGGCAAATGTTGCCTCCAAACAGAAATTGCATCCAAGGATTCTCTGACAGCAAGATGTTACTGTTGGGCCATCTGCAACCCTAAGACAAATGCAGCACTTAAAGGACTCTGCTAATACTGAGCGGATCTCCTCACTTTTCTTTTTGTCATCCAGTAAACTGTCAAGCTTACTATTAATATTTTGTAGTTCATCTTCCTGAGAAGATGCTTCTGTCAAACTTCGTTTTTTCCCTTTTCCTCTTGTGAATCCTCCTTTTTTCTCCTGCACCTCTTCGTACCTTTTGGCAGTAACAGCAAATACTTTCCTGCTTCCAACATTCCAAACTTCTTCACCTGAGCAATAAAAATATTAATAGTGTTTAGTTTTAAACTTGAACTTTGTTTGAAACTGCACTATTTAAAACAGTAGAGAAGTTTATGGGCTGTGATAGTTATCCAGCTGAAGTTTTGAGGAAAATCCAGTTTCCAAAGGCAAGTAGTACAGCATAACTAAGATTTATACTACCGTATAGTTTTATTATTCAACCCCACAATTTTCACTAGTGGCAGGATCTATGCACTGAAAGTAATCCTCCACAGCAGGCATTATGTGGTTGACTCTCAACTGTTACTGTCCACCATGATGGTGTTCCCTAATAAATAAGGGCAGGAGTCCTCTTTGTAAATTTTAAAAATGACCCCTAAAAAGGCCCTGTATTGTGAGATGATGGGCGTGGCAGCACTGAAATTTCACCCCTAACCAGGACCAATCAATGACAGCTCATTTTGTTTTGGTTTCCCAATTTTATTTCATTTATTGCTATTGCTATCATTTGCTCTACATCATTCGCTACTGCTATCATCCGCTCTTCTTTTTAGAGCAAAGATAGCAATAGCCATAAATGTCTCAAAATAGCTCAAAATGTACTGAAACTCAACAGGAATCCAAAAAAAAAAAAAAACAATAAACAGGTTGAGGTGTTTACTTTTATTAAGCTTAACATATCTCGCAAAATTACTAAAACGGTTAAAAATCCATAGCTTGGGCTATCTGTGGTCTAAATCGCTCGTACTATTGCTAAAAAGCAATTTGGGCTCAAAATTGCTTAATGATGCTTTATTTTTGATTTTCTCACTAGAACAATATAAAATTTTGTTAAATAGCATTTTTAGACTACCGTTATCAGTGAAAAGCAAKAATAATCTGCGAAATTTCGCGCCAAAACACACGAGAGGTCACTGAGTTGTGTTACGTCTCTGTCACACACAGAGCGCGGACCCATACAACTAGGTTAGCTTATTTATTAATTTCTTTTTTGTTCTAACGAATGAAATAATGTAATGTTAGAATTTACTTTGTTGTTGTCTATTCTATGTTGTTCTAATTTTGCGCGGACATGTCTTTCTGAAACATCACAGGATTAATAGTGGTTTCCTACAACATAAACCTGCAGTCCATAATCAAATCTAATTTTCGCCGTACCAAAGTAAAGTTTCCATTGTTTAAACTTTCTATAACGCTTAATCTGATTTGCATTAGGAGCGACACTTTTGTCGCACCCCTGTTGAACTAATTATAAATTGCAACTTTCTACTTTCCAATTCTTTATGATACTACATAATTTTGATCTTAAGACAGAAATATATAACCTTTATCTAAACATAAATTTAAAAACTCAGGGTAAACCCGCCAGGATATAAATTTAAGTTAAACCCTTTAATGATTTGCCCATAAAATCTCCCAAAAGCTTGATTATAAAAAAAAATCAGAATTTCACTCAAAATCCTGGTTCGGACGTAAACCTATGACATTTGTAACCGATTGTGTTGATTTCGACCAACTGAACAAAACAAAGAATGTGAATGAATTCAGGATGCGAACTTCCAAAATCAGATTAGACGCGGCAACAAAACTACACCGTCTGAACGAGCTCTTCTACATGGGTTTTTAATTTAAAAATTTGAGATTATTTTCGATGCAATGGTGATTAAGATATTTGCGAAAAATAATGACACAAATCAGTCGCACCAGTATACCGGATGTGCACTCGGAATCTATTGCGAACCGCCTGAGTTTAAAGTAAGTTATATATATTTTRATAAATGGCTTTAGATACCCCTTGTCGATGCATTATCCATGAYTTTGAAGCCGTGAGAGTCCACAATGATAATTTCTTCTTCAATATTCAGGTATTCTTTGGTAATTCTGGAAACATCTTCGAYGTTACACTCGTCGTTAGTTAGTCTCAGATGTGCAGTGTAAGTTCTCTTCAGCTTGTAGTCGTCATTGTAATCTGCCATAAAGACCAAACGCTGGAATCCATGAGTGCCCTTGGCTGACCTGTTGAAAGTTAAGGATGCTCTGGAGTTTCCATTATTCTTTCCACTTAGTTGTGATGTACCTATACCGCTTGGTCCAGGGCGGGTCGTCAGACCTAAATCCTTTGGCGTGGGAATCTGATCATCACCGCATTCTCCGTTGCCAACTGCGTTGCCCATAACCTGTAAAGTCAGTTTGTCCTCCCARAAGGTAGTGTCAAAACTTCCAGAAAAAAAGTGGGAAACTAGGCGCCTGCAGAAGTCATCCTCGAGGTAGAGGGAGTCTAAGCTTACCTGTAAAATGAGGGAGAAAATTAACCTTTGATATAGTTAGTGGCTACGAASGACAAATGAAACAACTTACTATAATCGTACCTGAAAAATGCTGCTAAGGCGCGTAGCATTCAAATCATTTTCGGCTAGAATTACGCGTTTTTTTCCTCTCCAAAGGACAAAGCTTTTCTCTCCGAAGTCCATCATGGTTCTCAAAACTTTCACCAATGACCAACAAATGGAAATAGTGTAACATGTGCAATCAATGCCGTYATTTATCAAAAAGCCGCGGACCAATCACAACGCTAGGAATGTTCTCAAGATTGGAATCGAGGCAATAGTCATTGTTAGTAGACCCTCTATAGGAAAAAAGAAGAAAAACAGCAAAAAGAGACAGATAAGAAAATACATAAAGACAACAAGCTTCAATGAAATATGCACAATGACAAATAATTCATAAAGCGAATGTAAGCTATTAACCAAGCTTATACTATTATTCACTAGTGTAAGTTTTTTATGATATTTTTTTCTCTGCGATGGCTTTCTTTTGTTTCCATTTCCTTCTCTATCTTTCGTTTTCTTTCGTTCATTTTCCTTTTTTTCTTAGTTTTTAGTGCTATTTCAGTTAGGATTGCCGTCACAATAAAAGTACGAAAGTGTCATTAGATTCAGCATAATGAGTTAAAACGTTTTAAGGATGTGTATAAATACCAGAAAAAAGACATTACAGTAATATACCATGCATTGGAGCTTGTTACAAAAATGTTATCATGCACTATAACCTCAAGGGCCATGTCGATGGCGTAGACTCACCCTACTGTTTTTTAT